CAAAGTACTAAATTAATCTTTGAAACTACTTTTATTCATTGTTAAACTTGTTGCAAGCACTTTAATGTAAGATATTTGAAAAGAATTTCAAAAAAAGAGGAAGACACTCTTATATTAAAGAAAAAAAATCTGAACCAAATTACTTGTTTGAAAAAACAATAGACTGCATGCAATAAAAGTAAAAAGGTTAGATTACTTACATTGANCAAAGTACTAAATTAATCTTTGAAACTACTTTTATTCATTGTTAAACTTGTTGCAAGCACTTTAATGTAAGATATTTGAAAAGAATTTCAAAAAAAGAGGAAGACACTCTTATATTAAAGAAAAAAAATCTGAACCAAATTACTTGTTTGAAAAAACAATAGACTGCATGCAATAAAAGTAAAAAGGTTAGATTACTTACATTGATAAAATGGAGGATTTGAATTTTTCTTCAGGATAGTCTTGTTATTAAACTGAAAAATAAAGAAAACCATTGTTATCTTCCAGTCAATATCATTATATTCAGTTCTTATCTTATCACAACACGCGTACAATGTCAATTTATATAACGAAATCCTTAGTAACATAAACGATGCAATAATATCAAAAGTTCAAAACTGTTTGAATCATTGAATATATTTAAAATATATTCACTTATGTTTTGCCACTTTGTCATACCACTTATGTCTAGCCATAAAACATCTATGGGAGATAACAAGCGCACATGTACTTGTCAGATAACCACATTGACAAACATTTGTTTGCATCGTTTCGTCAGACACAGAATTATCGTTCGGTAGAGTCTCTCTCTGTAGACAAATATACCTCGAAAGGAACAGTTTAATACTATAATATATGATGCGCTAAAAGAATTGTTTATACGTTAGATCTACTTAGGATTGTCATTGTATGGTTTCCCAGTGGGAGCTGCATGGTATTAGACTTATAAATGACCGTGAAACTATTGATTACACGCATAACAAATGTCAAGTATATAAAGAAAAAATATAAATCGATTAAAAGATCATAATAATGCCTTCAAATTATCTATACCTAAGATGTCAGTTTTTTGTAATGTCATCATCAAGTTGAAACGGTTTATAACGACAACTCAGCAGATTTTTTGTCAAATTCACGAGTACAGTTTTTTTTTTGCTTATGACAGTCATTTCTCGGTGGTATTCACAAGCTAAGAGAGGTTGGGGATTCTGCTGGTACACTATGTACTTACGTAGACACGTCAATAACAAATATTACACTGTATAGAACGATATTCGACACGAATATTTAATATGAATTCAACGTCAATTTTTTACCAGTTTGTCCTTTGATTTGCATCGCGCAATAAATCACAATATTGGAAATTCGTGACCGTAGGTCACCGACGACTGTCACACACAGGTTAAACAGAAAGTCTGCTCTGCTGTCAGACATCGGTGACCGACGCGACGTGGCGTCCAATGTGTTGAAAGAACAATGCCGTCGAACATGCACATGCTTTGTATGCACGTACACAAGTTTCCATATCAATCCGAAACAATAGATACACGCTGTAGTATAATATAGCACATCAAATTTATCTGTATTCAAATACTCTGCGAACGAGATAAAAACTTCGGATTGTATTCGAATAGTCGAAGCACATTATAACACGACTTTAAGTGCTTACGTCCTCCAACTAATCTACCTACGTATGTAGGTACCATCGGATAAAAAATATTCAAGCATTCGAATGTATTCGTTATGTATTCTAACACTCGATTATTACGAACGGTACACACTTGATTTGCATTATATTTTTCTGTATCTCGCAACCGGTATACATTGAATTTTTCTTGTATTCGTACGTTCGTGCAGACGATATCATAATAACATTAGACACTTGAACATTCTTAAGCTGTTGAACACTGCACGAATATTCCAGTACATACTCGAACACTATCCGTTAGAATAGTTATGCCTTCCGAAGAATATTTAGAATACTCGACAACTTACTGAGCACTTGAAACATTTAAATCGTTTGCGTAGCTTGAATCATGTTATACACACATTGACTGGTATCCGTAAGACAACATGCACTGTGCATAGTTTATGAAAATACGTGATATGTCAATTTCGAAAGTTCCTTCCTATGCCTTTATACGCACGGGCGTGACTTCGTGGTCTTGCTCTATTAAAATAATTCGCCTCGAACACAGATTGTCACAGAGCGAATGAAAGGAAGTAAAATAGCGGAAAATTCATCGCGATTAGAATTATTCAGGGAATGATGATCTATCGTTGAAATGGAACAGAAAGCCTCGCACACTTTTATTCGACGGACCATACCACTCGCAGTTCGCGTGTTCAACGTTAACATTTCGTTACCGAGTTCTCGTTTTGCATGATCCAATGTAGAGCCGTTCTACTCACCCTGACGTGTACTCGAAATTTAATACACTAACTTTTGTAACCGAAATAACGAACAAAATAACATAAAACACTTATGACAAGTCCATTCACAGGCACTGACGAATTAGGAGCTACGAGGCAAGATGGCGCTGGAAAATATTTCCTCCTCCTCTTTCCCTTGTTTCGCGGTGCAATTGACGGGGATTTGACACTGAATCCGTTTCTGACAGACTTGAAAACACGTTCGAGGCTGTTCGAGGCTGTTTCTTGACGAACCTAGGCCTTGTGTCTCTACGGCTGCTTTAAATCACCGAACGTACTACGTGATTTTTTTTATCGAAATAAGAAATTTGTCAATGAAGCGTTGTCTCTCTTTATGTAATCTTATGGCGGATTTACATGTATGTACATGGACGTCTATGCTCTAATTCTAATTGCTGGCAATACGTATAGGGTGATTCAGAAGTTGCATGAATCCTTGTATGATGTGTAAAAATATGTATTATGCAAACAATCTCTGTTAGAATTGTGTAATAAATAAATACTAAATAAAATAGAGAATACCTTGCAGATATAATATAGCAAAACAGAAATATACATATTAGTAAGAAAGAATAACCAAACATTATCTTAACGCGTTCCATTCCGTGCCGTGCCGCGAGCCGAGTTGTTTTTACTCGACTTATCTCTCTGGCCATTTGATATTTTGAATAAAATTTGATCTATTACATGTAATTATTAATTATCGTGTATATAAAAATGCAACAAACTTATTATGACTCATTCTTGCGATGGAAAATAATTCTGCAACCCTAAATTTGTTATAAACTATTTTTTTAGCGCATTCATTAAACACACGTGAACATGTGTACCCTCCGATGGTACACGCGACACAGAATGTGTTAAAAAAAAATCTGCAAAAAAGGGGTTTAACGACAATACTACCCTTACAATTTTTTTTAATCTGGAAGTAGAGCGAACAAACCAGAGCGTGGTCAATCATGTTATAAAATACATGACTTTGACACACGTCAAAATCTCAGGTTATTTTAAAACCATGAGAGATGATCAGGTTATTTTAAAACCTTGACTCTAATGTCAAGGTATGTTAATAGACCACAAACGCAAACTTATACCCCTTTCGAGTAAAAAAGACATTAAATTAGATAAGGAGTAAAGTAGATAAACAATTTCATAGTGGGGGGGGGGGCAGCTTCGTTATATCGTGGTATTCGATTAATTCGATAATTTAAATATTAAATATTATACTAGCTACTAGCGATGTAATTTCTTACTGTAAAAATTCAGTGATTGAATACAATATGATGCAATTACAAGTTATCCGGTGTCATTTAAAATATACCTTCTGCTTTTGTATTGAAACATTATCATGGGCAAACGCTCAAACTACATATCTCTCATTATCACAATGCAGAATCATCGAAAATAATTAATTATGACATAATTAGAATAAAGAACATTTAACCAAGTTCATAGAATTGTTCAAGAAAGTTTTCTGCATTAATCGAAGCAATAAATTCTCCTGAACAATACTCTGTGGCCCTGGTTTATTGTGAATAACCAAACATTATCTTTAAAAAAAGATGCAAAAAAAGGGGTTTGACGAGAATAACCCTTACGTTTTTATTTTTTAATCTAGAAGTAGGTCGAACAAACCAGAGCGCGATTAATAGAACACAAACGCAACTATACTTCTTTCGAGTACGTTAACGTCCACTCGTTAAACCCACTGATGAAATATTTCAATCGGCTAGCTTATATAGAAAAGATACTTCATGTAAGTACTAGCGAGAAACTATGCTCGAGATACGCCAATAACCCTCTATGAAGGGATGTTTGGATTAAACGGAGATACCTTGATGCATATATGAAAAGGTATGTAAACGAATAACTGCGACAGAAGTGTTTCCAAAAAAGATTTATAAAGCGATTTTATATAAATGAACACATTCATGTTACATTTTTATATAATAATTGTGTATTAGCAGAATAAAAATTAAAAATCTCTCGCGATGCGACTTCTACCTCTATTCCATTGTGGTGATTCGCTCTTGATACCGAGGGTCGGTAATGTACAGTGCGACATGATTTACTGTTGCTTAAACATTTATTCAAAATCGATTGAAAATATGTATGTAAGAGGATATGTAAACGAATAACTGCGACAGAAGTGTTTTCAAAAAGTATTTATTTGTTGAAAAATTACATTATTCGGAAGCAATAGTTAAAATTCTGCATTACAATCAGAATTGAAATACAAATAAATTTAAATTTGTAAAAAATATGAAATTTCCCATTAAATGAAGATAATGCAATGAATGAGACTGCGGATTTTTTGCAGTTATGAGAAAGATACATAGCTGCAATTTAAATCAGTCGGAACACTAACGAATTAAGAAAATAACGAATGGATATGTTATTTTCGACTTATTAAAATGCAATTCGAATAAGAATGAATTCATGATGAGAATAAGAATGATTCTTGCTTTTTTTATGCAGGAAATTTTTAGTTTACATAAGGATTCGCAGTGTAGTAATGGATGAATTGTCGTAAATGAGTAGATTCAGAGTAATTTACGTATGAATATTTCTTCTTTATTGACAAATCTTTGTATATTATACTTTGTTTTTCATTAATTATTTATAAACTTTTTACATTAGCCTTGAATATTATTATACAACGTTCCTTTTCGAATTTAACGATGCCTCCTATTTGTCTACAATCTAGACCCACGAAATCAGTGATTAAAATAAGATCGGTTGAACTGCATACTCGTTACTTTTTCATTTTCATTTCAATTTGGAATACCAACAATTTTTGGAAAGCTTAATAAAACGTTACAAGAAATGAATTTTCTTTGTCGTTGTGTTTTCTTTTTCCGGAGATATTTTTACAATTTCATGGTTGCGTTTCTACGTTTAAACGTGACAAAGCGTGAAGAGTCGCTGGTGGAAACTGATAGCGCAGTTTGCACTGATTGGAATGACAGTTTTTGTTCTATACAATACAATTCTCTGCTTATTCCAACAAAGTATTAGCAATAATATGAATAATCGATAGTACATTTCTCAGTCAATTGAACGTGAGTATGCGACTTCTAAACTCAATAATTAATAACGGGTAGCGGCAATCATCCACCCTTGCTCTCTGTTCCCTTTCTCACAGTTTCAACAATTTTTCACATTCGTTCCAATTCACAATCAGTTGAGAGCTCTCCCAAGCTTCGCAATGTTACAATAGTTCCCAATCGATTTCTTAAATTTATTCAAAATTTAACGTTACCGCGACATCCGATTTCCTATTCTCAAATCTAACAACCGAATCCCCATTTATAATTTGTCCCCATTGTAGTTCCGAATCGTTTACACGTGCGTGCAGTAAATATTGAAAAAAGTTCGACAGTTGGCTTTCTCAATATTTAGACTTGATCAAAATAATTTCTTCGGATGCCTAAGTATAAAAATATTTGAAGTGCATGAGTATTACTCTTTTGGGATCACCATGGCACACTCTACTTGACCCGGAATCAACTTGCGCAGTGAAATCTTTAAGAATAGTATACTTACAAATAGAGAGGATACGATGCGAACGAGCGCGTTTGAGTATTAATGCGAACAAAATATAAAATGTTAAAAACACGTAGCCAATTTTTGTTTTCATTATGAAACAACGGAATTCGGGTTAAATTAATGTAATTAAGAATAGTTGCAATATGTTCTTTTTCACGCATTGTAAGCTGTTAAAACTTTTAAAAAAGTCGCTGATATTCGACACGATACTTTTAACATTTTACACTTCGGCCATACTCATCCATACACATACATGTTCTTTTGTCAGATGCACGCCGAATTGTCTGGCTCTATCGAACAGTTTTCGACAACTATTTTCGCAATACCGAAGGCTTAGCTTAACGCTGACTTCACAAATCGTCTCATGCACCAATTTATTCACACTACCCCACCGTCCACGATACGTGTGACTAGCAAATAAATGTTACTTCAACATAACTTAAATATCTTTCCCTCGCTAATTATACGTATGTGTATATATGTACACATATATGTCTAAAAATTTGTTTCACTTTTAAGGCTTCCGCTTTCCATCGCTTTCTATAAAAAAAATGTCTAAGTGGAATGATCGTTATAACTGGGAGATTAAGAGTGTTCAACGCTAATAAAAAATATAGCTGCTAAAAAAGCTATATCCTGCGTTTATTCGCAGGAAACAGAACATTTGAGTATCTGTCGCGTTAATCTGTTCACCGGATAATTCATTCTTATCACGGCGGTGTATACGATTACAATTCGAGCGAGAGTATGTTAAACTAAATAAATAAAAGGACGTGAAATTACACAGAATGATACGGTTGGATGGACACAACGAGTTGTTAAATCGTCCTGCCCGACTAACAGATTAAATCAACCAGATGCGTTCAACTGTTTCCGTGTTTCCTGTCATACCCTGTACAAATTACACACTTTCGAACAAATTTTACTCTCGTCTGTGTTCCAATGTTCACAGGTGGCTCTTATAAATTGTAAGCTGAATAGAAATAAATAAGAAAAGAATCATTTTTCGAAAAACGATTGTAAAGAGCATTCGAAATACAATGATAAATATTATCAGCATTGAGAGAATATAAAAAAAAACTATCGATACGACGAATCATAGTTATATTTAGATCTAAAATTAGTATCGGACAATGTTATCGATGCGTGAGAGCCACTCGTGCTATGCTAACGTACATGCTTTCATTTTCGAACGGTAATATTAAATTGTGCCAATCACAGGAAGAACGAGAAGAGTCAATAGTGGAAGTATATCGATTTTCTTGGTCAAGAATAGATTTAGAAAAGAAACAAAAAAAAAACAATGAAATAAAAAGTGGTCCATCCTGTAATTCGATGGCATCCGGGTACAATATATCGATGCTCGACAATAGATCACCGTCATAGTTAGTAAGTATGCTTACACGATTGCAAATGACATGCGTATATGCATATATACATATACGTGTACATGTATATATGCACGCACGTGTGTATGGTGTGTGTGAGAGCGCGCGTGGTGTGTGATGTGTGTGTGTGTGTGTGTAAATATATATATATATATATTAATTATTGAGATAAGGCCACTAGTGGGTGATAAAAATATAATATAAATATTCCAGTTTAAGCGATAGTTTCAAAGCAATGGTTAGCGACTACACAGTACGTCCAGAGAAGAATAGATTCTTGGGTAGATATAATGAATCGTGATACGTGAATCGCATCGCACGCAAGATTCAACTTATTGTCATAGTTTCCATCGTGAACCACGACTGTATTCTCTTCGATGTACGGAGCATCGATTCGCGCGATAAAAAGGTCGCGCGGTGAATTTTTTTTTGACACGGGCACATTCCTCTCAGACATATGTAGGATTGGTTTACCTATTGCGTTGAAGATCTAATATATTATATATTAACAATAGACGACTTGTAATGAGGGGACTCGTAGTACTCGATACTAAATATATAATAATTTGTCCTTTCTTTAAAAAGTTCTACTAACAACTACAATGTACAATACAGTTCGCGCAATCCGCATACAAACACGTTATAAATTACAAAAGAATCATCACTAATGCCTTGAGTTTCGCTCCCGCACTCGGAAGAGTACTCGTCGAACGTTGCCATATCGGTTTTTCCCTAGAAATATAATGTAATATCAAGAGAACTACATGTGGCACTGATTTTTCTTTCGCACGCGTTCGACATTTTTTATCATAAAGAGAAAGCATATTTTCGCGTAGAAATTTGGAGCGATAGTACGTCAAAGTCTTTACTAATCTAGATCATTCTTTCATTCTTTCTTTCTTTCTTTCTCTCTCTCTCTCTCTCTCTCTCTCTCTCTCTCTCTTTCTCAGTATGAAACGAATGTACTTAAGCTTCGCGAGTAATCGTCTGTATTCTGGTTATGCCAACATTTTTGGAAAGTTCTGCGGCACACCAGGTTCCAGGCACTACACATTGAGCGATGCTTGAGCCAGATTGCGTCCGGCTTAGATCGTGTGTTACAAAGTCGACTCGTGGATGATCGTTGTGTCTGGATCGCTGCTGCTGTGGATGATCGTCGGCTGTGGCACATGCGGTATCAACGTGATAGACGACATTTTCCGGACGGGTTTCGGTGAAGCCTGAAAGAATAAATAAGATTAGAAAAAAATCTGCTTACAGCAACGATCATTTCTAAGAGATACGATGCAACGAACAGATATCCAGACACGGGTATTCAGACGTACCCATTCCCTTCTACAAGGCGCCTCGTCGTCCGAGTAGTGGTCTATCTGACCAACGTCCGTTTCGGTCGCAACGTTTCTCTTCTTTGGTTGCAAGGTGGCATAGTTGCGGCAGCCTCTGTTGAAATTAGTCATGTTCTTCTCCTCGACGATCTTCTCCTGGCAAAGTATCTCCTGCGACTTGCTTTGGTTATTGTTCGTCACGTTGTTGTTCGACTTATTGTAGAAATAGAACGGTGGCATTTTCGAGACCCAGTGGTCCAGCCCGGAACCGGTGGAGCTGGTGGAGGCTGCCGAAGAAGTTGCCGAGTTATTGGTCAATCCTCTTCGCTGGTAGAACAGCATGTAGGCGGCGTTCGTGATCAGGTTCGTGTCGTTCACTGCTTCCACTCTGGTGTCGTCGAAGCAGTACCACTGGGTGTCGTAAGGGTTCCGACAGAATGCGGTGTAATGTCCACCCTGCAGATCTTGGCCGTGGTGATTGCATATCGCGTAAAGGTCGTAGACATTTTCATCGTACTTTGGAATATTTTGTTGCCGGGGTCTGGGCTTCTTCCACGGCGACCAGCCCAGGCCGCCTAAACTGCTAACGTTATTGTGAGTCTGAACCCCGTTGTGAGCCAAGTGCGGCGTCATGTCGAAACCGTACAAGGGAAAATCGACCAGCATCGTTAACTTCGAGGTCGACCTTTGCTTGGATTGCTGCCGAAATCTTTTCAAATGTATCACCAAGATGTCTGGCAGAGACCAAAGACCTAGCTTCTTGACAACTTCTTGTTTCTTGTTGCAGTAGGGACAATGCCACGCGTCCTCCGCTCCCAAAATTTCGGCTCTGGTGTAAAGGTCGAAGCATTCTTCCAGCGTGACGGCTCCCCCTTGCTCGGAATTGGTCTTCAATTGTTTCACGCTGGCGTGTTCCTCGATCTGATCGGTGTCGTCCTGAATGATATTGCGCTTCGCAGCTTCGTCCCATTCCAGGATCAGCTTCACGTGTTGAGGGCCCGAATCGTCGGCGCAAAGAGCCAACGCTTGCTCGATCTGCTCGGTGTACAAGGGATGTTCGACGCAGGGATCTATGCAAGGATGTTCATCCTGGACCGGCGTGGCAGCAGGGTCCGCGACCCTGATGTTGAACAGTCCAGGGCTTTGACTAGACGTGAGAACATCGTCGGCCAGAACGCTGTGCATCTCCTTGAGCAGAAGCTTTTGAAGGTCTTCGTAGGACGTCTCCCTGGAGACTTGCATCGTGTACGGACTGCCGAAGCGTTGCCGGAGGTCTCCTTTGACAAGGACGTTGATCCATACCAGGAGAATGTAAGCCTGCTCGGTGGGTTCCTTCAGTTGTGGCAGTTCTATGCAGTATAGCGGGTCGTTTTCGGTGATCACAGATAGAGGTTGGCAATCTGAGAATGTCCTGGGGAGAATGAACAAGGAATTATAGCAACTGTACGTTCCGTTTAAACCGAGAGAAAGTTAACCCTTAGCGCTTCGCGTGTTTCTCGAGTACGTACTGCCTACCAGCAACTCCGGCACATTTTTGGAGCGGAGCGCCTGAGATAAAGGAAGTCTTATTTTGAGCGGAAAAGATTACACTACCTTGTGAATTATTTTATAAATATACATTTTCCTATTGTAAATAAAAGATAAATTTTAAATTCTGTAATTCACCATGTGCGATATCTTTGGTAACAATCTCCCATGTGCATTCTGGATTTACTTGGACAAGCGTCACAGTATTCACTTTGCCCCAACTAGAGTTACTAGATATTTCTTTCAAGCTTAGAACATTTTCTGCGTAATTGTTGGTTTCCTTTATAATTTCATTCACCGATTCGTCCGTGAGAAATAATTTAAAATATTGTATCGGCTGTTCAGTGTTTGTAGGAACTTGTGGTCCAATGACCTGTGGCAATACGCTAAAAGGTATTCTATCTGGAATATGTAATTTTCACTTTCAATAATCCTCATTCTTCGTCTCTTTGGTAGTATAATTTCGCTACTACTACTCTAAATGTCAGAATCATAACCAACATTGTCATCCACAATGTCTTTTAACTCTTCAAGATCAAATACGTCTTCGGTATCGCTCGGCTCTAAATTCTCATCGTGATATTTATCTTTCTCCGTGTTGCTAACCATAGAAAAGATGAAAAAATGGTTTAATCGTAATGGTACAGACTTAGCACGTTTTAGTTACAGATAACAATTGCTAACGCCGTCGATAACGTATGGTAAAAACGTTTGGCTCCGCAGCGGAGCCATCGGAGTTACGGTACAAATGACAAATGTCTCCGTAGCGGAGCCTTCGGAGCGCCAAGGATTAAGCAACGTCGTTATACCTGTGAAATCCTTCGTCGTGGACTTCCGTGAGCAACATATGATTCTCGTCGATCCCCGTGTCGCTCGCCAATATTTCTCTCAGCTCTCTCACGATAGCCGCCTGGTTCACGCTAACGCCGATTTTGACTTGTCGCGGCTGCTGCGACGTGTACAGCACGTTCACGAAAAGGTTCATCTGCCGGTGGTTCTGGGGGACGGGCACCGACACGCAGAGAAAAGGATCGAACGTGTTCGACTGCCGGTGACATCTTGGACAGGTCAGACTAGATCGGAACTGGGCTTGGAACACCGCGTGCACGAACGAGTTGTTGCACCGTACGTGATTCGCCAACGTTTCCGCCGCAACAATGTCGTCCGGACGCCCGAATGAATTCTGCAAAAGAAAATGCGATAAATATTATTATCACCTAGATACGCGAACACGTCGTTTTTCCTAAACTCTAAACCGTATCATCATCATCGCGAAGCCTTTTAACGAAGCGACTAAAATGTCGGAGACCACCTTTGAAAACTTGCACGCATAACCTAATTTTTAAAACGGCCGTTATATAATTTTTATTTGCCATCTACACGATTTACCGAGATTAATTAATATAACCAGTAGCGCGTGTAAAACGAGTCACGAATACACATATTTTCGTTTTTGGTGACATTCGACTGATTTTTCAGTCGGCCTAGATATATCGTGGCGGACCAATTTAACGGAAACGAGGTGAGTGGACATTCCGAGAGAAAACGGCAGAGACTTTCTAACTCTGAAAGCGTCATTTATATTCCATTTTCAACGGTGAACCGAAAGAATGTTTATCGGTATCGTGATCCGTGGTATTCCTTCTGAAATCACGGAATGCAAGATAGGTACACATACATATATATATATATACGTACGTATACAGGGTGTCCCAAAAATGTCTTGCAATTCGAGAATGGGAGTTTCCTGAGGTAATTTGAAGTAAGTTTGTCCTTGGCGAAAATGCAATCCACGGCTTTGTTTACGAGTTATTAACGAAAAAGAGCGACCAATCAGAGGTGAGATATGCTGGCGCAAGGCGGCCGAGCCAATGTGCGGAACTGGGCTCCATGCGCTCATTGGCTCGGCCGCCAAGCGCTAGGCGAGCTCGCTTCTCATTGGTCAGTGTTTTTCGTTGATAATTCGTAAACGAAGCCACGGGTTGCATTTTCGCTAAGGAAAAAGTTACTTCAAATGATCCCAGGAACTTCTCATTTCCGGTTTGCGAGACATTTTTGGGACACCCTGTATACGCATATACATATACATATATGCATATATGTACATGTGTATATGTACAGACGGGATTTTGAAACATTCCTCGTAGGTACGCGTTACGGCTTCCACGTTCCAACGTAATTGGCGGGAGTTTCAAACTTTCACATTACAATTAGATATCTATCGCTGCGCCGCGGTTCGAACGAAGCGTAAGAGTGAAATAAATAACGGCGAACCATATTAATTCGTTCCACCTGTTACAGTCTGAAATTAGTATAACGATTTATTACCGCTTCGACGGTCATTTCAACCGTACGCGGTCCGATATCCGTTTGTGGCACATGCAAAGCGATGACGAAACGATTAATCCTCGCCGTTGTCATTCATAAATTATGGAGAGCGTCGACAACAAGGCTTAAAGCTGTAATGCGCTCTTCAACGTATTCGCGAGTGCAGCAACATTTAACCGGGCCTGCAGGATTTCCTTTTATTTTACGTCATCGATAGGTCGAGCAAGGTGAGAAGCCGGACAAACAACGCGCCGCAAAAATTCATTGTTAAAACGATGGAAAACCACCGAAACACAGACGTAATCACTCGGTATATTTAATCTCGCAATCTACGATCTAAGAACGCTTCATAGAAACATAATCGATTTTCGATAATGCTCGACGAATTCCGACGAAGTAACTTTATCTCTCTCGATTAAAGGAAACACATACTCGAGTGTGCCTACGTGTGTGCACGCGTTGTTGCTTCAGGCCTCGGGTATATTAGAAAACGCGTGCAGCGCCTCCCGTTAATTATTATTCGATCACTTTTCGAAACGCGTTATGAATTTGTTTCGAAAGACAAGGGTCTTTTATATTTCGTTTCAACGTTCCAAGTAATAGCAAAATTGTAACGAAAATATCGTAATATTATGTACATACATGGTGTCTCGGAAATGTCTCGCAATCCGAAAGTGGCGGGTTCCTCGGGTCATTCGAAGCAACTTTTTCCTTTACAAAAATTTTCTCCGAGGCACCGTTAACGAGTTATTTAACGAAAAACAGTGACCAATGAGAGGCGAGCTCGACTGGCGCGAGGCGACCGAGCCAAAGAGCGGAACTGGGCTTCGCGTGCTGGTTGGCTGGGCCGCCTCGCGTCAGCCGTACTCGATTCTTATTGGTCGCTGTTTTTCGTGAAGCTGCTTCAAATGATCCGAGACATTTTTGGGACATCCTGTATATCGGTTCCTCTAACGTCTAAAAAAAATTCAGATCGTTTATTCCAGTTATACAAATGTTATCGCGTTCATAAAAAGCGCCCGAATATTAATGCGAATCGCTGAACACGTTGCGAAATTTATGTGTTCACGTTGAACACGGTGTAAACGTCTAATAATAGATGTAATTGCTTTCATTCGATTGCACTGTGACGGACGGAACACGAATTCAACGGCTCGTGTAGATCATCCCATACATTTCTATTCGTCGACGGCAAGGAGGTGGCGCCGCCGGCCGTTGCGATTAACAGTTACACGTGCGTCCAGCATGCGGATTCGTGTGTAACAAGCATTCCACGGTGTTATTCTTTTTTTCGCCGATTGGACGCGTGACAATCACGAAACCAGTTTGCCTCCTAAAGTACACAAAGACGATCGCTTATAACGCGACCGATCTAATAATAAACCGTCTACCGTCGCGTCGCGTCGATTCGTTTCTGGTGGTAGCGCGTCTCTGCCTATACCTTATTTTCCGTCCCCGTCCCGGTTTCGCAACTGGCCCGCCGCGACGCCGGCCGGAGAATAGCTGGCTGGAGTATGCTAATAAACGACAGACAATTGTCGCCGGATCGCTAAGACTCACAGAGACGTTTACGTTTGATCGGAATTGCCTCCTCGGCAGAGACACGCGGAACACACGATCACGGAGTCCGCCTCTCGAAAGTGTCAATCACCTCTGTCGGCGTTTTTCACCGACAGCTAACAATCGTCGCGCGTGTAATTGTTTCGAAATGGAACGACGCCAAAGAGGAGCGTAGCCAATATAACCGTACAAATAGTGAACGCTTATTAATCGAACGTTTAAGAATCGTTTTTACGTATCGTAGAATAAATAAATATTCCATGGTAAACGAGGCAGCGTGTACGTACACACGTGTATGTATACAGGATGTCCGAAAAATGTCTCGAAATCCGAGAATGGGAGGTTCCTGAGGTAATTTGAAGTAAGTTTGTCCTTGACGAGAATGCGATCCACGGTTTTGTTTGCGAGTTATTAACGAAAAAGAGCGACCAATGAGAGGTGAGATATGCTGGCGCAAGGCGGCCAAGCCAATGAGCGGAGCTGGGCTTCGTGCGCTCATTGGCTCGACTGCCATGCGCTGGGCGAGCTCGCCTCTCATTGGTCAGTGTTTTTCGTTAATAACTCGTAAACGAAACCGCAGATTGCATTTTCGCAAAGGAAAAAGTTACTTAGAATGACCTCAGCTATCCCACATTTCCGTGTTGCGAGACATTTTTGGGACACCCTGTACATCCTTTGGTCGGGACACGACTTTGGCAGGCATCGATCGGAAATTTTTCAATGATAATTGAATTAGTTTCAATGGTAACATTTAGCGAACCGCCTGCGAAGCTTCGCGTGCTTTTCCTCTGCCCCCTTTCCGGTCAGTGGATTCCCAGCGCGGAGTACTCGATCGGCGTGGAAGGCTTCACTTAACCGGATCACGAATCTTGTGTTTTCACGACCTTCGAAATGCGCGGTTTCCAAACCGTTTTTACGTATTCCGCACGATCGAAGGGAACCGTGCGAAACAACGTTACAAAAGAACGGGCAGCGATTCCGATTTTCGTATCGTTTACACGCGCACACGTCTCTGGTTAGACACAGCGCCGATTTTCGTTGGCACGGGTCAACGGTGGCCCATCGGTTGGCTGAGATCTTCGGGACGATGACATCGCGGTGGCGAGCGTCGTTCACCGGCCAGTACGAAGCACAGAAAAATTCAAACGGCTGGGTCCCCCATTTACAGTAATGTCTCCCTATCGGTCGCCGGGACCGAATTCTAAAGTGTCGAGAGTAATACGCAGGAATTGATGTCTTCGAGCCCCGCGGCTCGCCTTTATTGCTGCCGACACCTCGCGAGAGGGAGAGAGATAGAACCAAACTCGAGTCGAGCGAAACTATATTGTATACTATGTATGTAAGGCAGCGGTCAGCATCGGAAACAGCCGGTGTACAACATTGTAACGATAGAATAAAAACGATGACTTAACTTTTTTATTTCTAATTTTTTATACATGAAAATTTTTTTAATATATCGGTCACATTTTTCCAATTAAAATGATACCAAACACGACACGCTTTAGACCATTCTCATTCGTTATACGTGATAAGTAACTTATTTTATTTGCGGAAAAAGCATTGCAAAAACCGATTTTTAACATACGAAATATTAAAGGCAAGGTCGAAGAAGGTATGTACGTATGTTTTTCGAAAGAAAATATCACCAAAGTTACGCTATTCGAGCCTACGTTAGACACCGGGAAGAGGAAACTTTACACGGATGGGAGACAGAAGGAAACGAAGAGACGGCCGAGAACGAAGAGTTCCATGTTTGAAATTTGCTGGGACGGGAGAAACGACATCGTTTCGAGGACGAGCCTACGCGTGGAGATTGTAAAGGAACCGTTTTCTGTACATTTTCCATCGACCCTGGAATTTTAAGATGTCGAACATCGAGAAAGAACATGACATTTAGTCAATTTGAATATGTATTACTTACAAATTAATTTTTGTTTACATTATTTGTTACAGCATCGGTAAAGTTGACAACTTTGCCTAAACGCTTCTCCACCGCACACCACGCGCATCTTGGCAGTAAATTACGTGCAACGTCTATCGTCTTTGATTTCGTCGACAGAAATATCTGTATAAATATCTGTCCAAACTATACCGTGTTTGGTCTCATTTTAATCGGAAAACTATCAGCAGTATGTTAAAAAAAGATCAGTGTTAAAATGTTAAAATTAAAAAAAGTTATGTCATTGCATTATGAGTTGTCTTCCGTGAATTCGAGTCGAAGGAGCCGTGGCGCGTGCCGCAGCACACGTTCACCAACACCATCGAACTTTAGCATAGCGAGAAAATCGATAAATT